CTAGGTGCAGGACCCTGCACTTGCCTTTGTTGAACTTCAGGAGGTTCCTCTCTGCCCAGCTCTCCAGCCTGTCCAGGTCCCTCAGAATGGCAGCACAGTCTTCTGGTGTGTCAGCCACTCCTCGCAGTTTACTATCATCAGCAAACTTGCTGAGGGTGCACTCTGTGCCTTCGTCCAGGTCATTAATGATTTGAACAAGATTGGACCCAGGACTGACCCCCGGGGGACCCCGCTAGCTACAGGCCTCCAACTAGACTCTGTGCCACTGACCACAACCCTCTGAATTCTGCCATCCAGCCAGTTCTCAATCCACCTCACTGTCCACTCACCCAACCCACACTTCCTGAGTTTACCTGTGAGGATGTGATGGGAGACAGTGTCAAAAGCCTTGCTGAAGTCCAGGTAGACAACATTATAAACTGTTTATTTTCAAATCACATTTCAAATCACTGTACACAATGTACTGTTTGAAAAAAAAATTATCTAAGGAAGGAGTTTAGATGAATGCCCCATAAAAAGGCTGTATATTATGATCTTTTTATAGTAAACTCACTGTTCCCGTAGAGAAGATGGAATTCCACCCAGGTAGTACTTAGTGAAATTGAAGATATTTATGGTGGCATTAATACCAACACTGACATAAACAATATTCTTCTGTCTGGCAAGCAACAAAGCAATCTGAAAGAGGTGAATAATGAGAATTACTTCACTTAACAGCCTTAAATCCTGATTAGCTGTAGTAGTTCAAAGGTACTTTGCAAAATTTTGGCATTTTAGCCAGAGCAAATGCCTGAGGAAAATGCTCTACTATCCAAATAAAGGGCGGGTTTTTTATTTTTCTCAAGAGGATTGCCCTAAAAATACACCTCACCTAACATTCATTGCCTTCTATTTGCAGTTGAAGATTCAGCAGCTGCTGCCTGATACAAAGACGAGATCAGTCAACTGACTGAAGGTAACGTGACCCAGCATAAAGACTCAAGTTGAAGATGCAGGAAGGGGAAAAGGGAGAATGAATACGAATAGCCATCAAATGTTTTAACTATGTCCTTAAGATTTCACTTTTCTACCACAACAAAACAGCTGAACTAAAGCTAAGCAGACAAGCAACAAGAAAAAGATTACAAAAAAGTAATCTCTATAAAGATCAAACTGGCTTGAAGAAATAAACCTTTAGCTGGTGAAAACTTATCTGCATATTAAAATGATGTTGGTATTTACAATGAACATAGCTCTTTCTTAATAAAGCAATGCTCTCACAAACATTTGTTTTGTCTTGTGGTTATTCTGTAAAAACTGAACTTGGTCACAGGAATGCATGACAGTAGACAGTGTAAAGATTCGTTTTCATATGTTCATACTAATCCTATCCAGCTTAATCCTCTCAACACAAAAGCAAGACTTCGCAGCTAAACCTTACTATAGGATGTTTTGTTTCAGCTAATGTATATTTCCACAATTAATGAGCTCTTGGTTGTTTAAAAGGACATACTTGTTTTTGTTCTCCATCATTTACAGTTTTACTGTTTTCTATTTCCTTTGGAGGTTCAGAGTCAATTTTGTATCTAAAAACTGGATGACCGTTTTTAATGAGTACACTGATGAACTGATCCTGCAGTAAGAACAAAAATTGTTAAAAAAAAATTAAACTGTGCAACATTTCATGCATATTTCACTGTCGTGTAAATTAATGAAGCTGTCTAGTTATTTCAATAAAGCTTTTGGGGAAAAAGCACAAAACAGCATAAAATTTATAATAGTAACTATAATTACTTTAAACTCTCACAAACAGATCTAGTATCAGCTCTCCAAATCTCTAGAGGACTTTTTCTCCTTTCAAGATGTCTACCGGTTTTTAACAGCATTAAGAAATTATTAGTACATGTTGCAGTGATTGTAAACATTCCTATAATATCATTAGATAAGTGGTAACACTGCAGTGTTTTGGCCAGCTTTTACAAGTATAATTCACCACCTTCTAAATTCTTCCTTATGGTGTTACCAACCATGTTTAGATTTGGGGAGGAGCAGGCAATTCCATTTTTGGAGGATTTCAATATTTCAAAATTGGTTTAATTCAAATTAAAAAATGAAATCCCTCAAATTCTGAATTCTCCACACAGCCTAATGGAGAAGTTACCTGGAATGATTTTCTCTCAACTATGACAAAATGAGTATTCAAGCAGCCATAAAACATACAGCAGAATATACTAATCTGTTACACAGACAAACATAACAGTTTTAAGAAACTTTATCACAGTTATTAGTAAATCTAGCATGTTCTCAATTAAGTGAAGTTTTTAAAAAGTTGTATTTTTGATCTCTTGTACCACAGAACACCGCAGACAGAAGCATTCCCTGAATTACCTCATTTGCTGCAAAAAACACTAGGCCTTCATCTGCAGTAGTCAGAATTGTCTGTTCATAGCGTGCTGTTATGTATGTTTCTTTAGATGTGACACTGGCATAACCAGTGCCTTCAAAATAGGTTTGGTCAGACTCTTCTTTATACCTGTAACAATGTCACAGATGAGAACGTATGAGAGCAAAAACTCCCACTACATGGACTTACTGTCATTATCATTTAAAAAATGCTTAAGCTAAAGTATTTGGTAGGGCCACTAATAGGACCAAATTCTGATCACACCCAAATAAAAAGAAAACCTGCCACTGGCTTCTGTGGGATTTGCATATCCCATCTTTACAGATGAAATGTCTGATTTTAAATATTTAGTGACTGAATTTTTCCACTTAGTATAATATTTATCCTATAAAGAAGCTGGATACATTAGTCCATGGATTTGGAACTTAAATTCTTTGTCTGGGTATTGCAACATTTAAATTCTTGGCCAGGGGATTGAGATTGCCATAGATGTGAATGTTGCCAACACTGAAGATTTTCTCTAGGAAATATAGGTAATGATCAAGACTTAGAGAAAAATCACCAGTTTAGCTACAGTGCTTATTCTCCTGGATGTGAAGAGACAGGAATTCCTGATGATAAAATAAGAGAAATGTGAATTTCTTACTGTAAAACACTTTGATTCATACCTTCTGCATGGCTGCACTTCAGTGGTATTAAGATTAAATGTCCTCTTGAAGTTGTACAGGCTGATAATATTCTCATTTATATTGTCTAATTCAATGCAGCCTTCATAATGAGGATAGTCTAGCTTATGTGGAGGCTGCAAAAATAGTGTCATCAAAAACATACTGTCAGTATCAGCTGAAAAAATCTTACATTGACATGTAATTGCTAGTACTCATTGCAAATTTTCATAAGACACAGAAAATGATATTCTAAAATATCATGAAGTTATTATGTATTTGGATATATCCAAATCGTTCAACACCATCCCAGGGGTACTACACCATAGTTTAAATCAGGGTCACATGGGTAGACTGGAAAAAATAACTTAGCAGGGCCAGACAGCTTTCATGCCGTCCTTGGCAGATAAAGAAAACATTATGCTCCCTTCTTTGAGTTCTAGCATGCTACAAGCCAGGCAGCTTCCGTAGGACAAAGCATCTCCTTCCTCCTGCTTTATTCCTGCTTGCATGGATAAACTTTTATGTAAGCAAGAATACAGTCTGGCACCCCACCTTTGAAAGACTGCTAACTCCAATCTTAACTGTAAGAACAACAGATTAATTAATATTGAAATCTCTTTAAACCTAAGCAATCCTTTTTACCCTAAAATCTGGTGGATATCCTCCAACATAAAAGACAGCATTGCTGGGATCAAGATTCAGGAGAGTGTGACCATTTCCTCTGCCATCATTTGAAAGATTTGTATACGCTGGAGAAGTTGATGTAGCTGCTGTGATGTAAGTCAGCTTCACATACTGGTAAATCCTAAAACGAAAACAGAAAGGCAAAATAACACATTTCATTAAAAAAATGTTTTTAACAGGTTCTGGAAAAGGGTATCTGTTGTGTACCGTGGCTCTTTTACCTTTCAAACTTAACTTGGTCCAAAACGGCTTCCTCAGTGTTGCTCTCAGTCACCAATTGTTCCACGTTTATTTCTGTTTCGGTGCCTCCCAGGTTAGAGATGCAAGTGAGGCGACCACGTTTCAGGGCCATACCGATGTAGTCCTGGGAAGCCTGAGAATAGCCAAGCAAATAATAATTAATAAATGATTAACGTTAATGATGGTAAGATAGAGTAATACTTTCTCAGACACAATATCATACTGTGAATGAGTCCGAAGTCCATTCCCTTAACATATGAAGCATTATGATCAGAATTTTTATTAAGGTTATCGGTTCTATTTCTGGGAAGAATAAACGGTAGTCCTATGTGTTGCACTGATTCAGTGAATGTATTTATAATTTAACTGAGGAGTCATGAGTAGCTTTTTATTTTTATAACAGTAACAATTAAAATAATTTCCACTTTTGTAACATCTTCTAGCTGAAGTCATGAAAACATGACACATTTAGTAAAAACGTAGACTCAGCACTTGTGAAATGAAAAGAACTTTAGGAACAACACTCAGTCAAGGGCAATGGCTCCTATTGAGATGACTAGAAGCAGCAATTTCCCCCCAAAATTTGCATTTTATTTCTTCAACATACCATATTTCACAAGGAAAAATTAAATCTCTGTCAACAAGTATCCTGGCCAGATATTCAGGGAAGAAAAAGAGTGAAATTCAGTGTAGAATAACTACCTTTAAACAGCTGTCAATCTATGCATAAGACACACTACAGGTACAGCTGCTGTCAGATAACAAGACATAAAAATACATACTTAGGCATCTCCTATGCAGGAACAGTTTAAAATG